TATTTTTCCTTAGGAAAGAAAAAGGCTAAACCAAACTAACCGTCTCTCACTTTTTTGTGCAGGAAATTGAGAAACATATGTCCCGTTTAAGCTACATCCCATCAACCCTTTTTTCAACAGAAGTCACATTGGTAGATTTCTTAGACAGGGTGCACATATCCGAGGTCAAATTGCGTTCAAAAGGCTTGTGGGATGTTCCACATCCATGGCTCAATCTTCTAATACCCAAAAGCCAAATACATAATTTTGCAGAAGAAGTCTTTGGGAACATCCTAACAGGAACTAGCAACGGCCCCGTCCTTATCTACCCAATAAACAAATCCAAGTAATAGTTCAGAAAATATTAACTCCTCAACTATTTTAGCCCTCAATAATACTTAATTGACATGACATGTAATGATGTATTTATGTTATTTACAGGTGGGATAACAGAACTTCTGTTGTCATTCCAGAGGAAGATGTTTTCTACTTAGTGGCATTTCTTGCATCTGCAGTTCCCTCTTCCAATGGAACTGATGGCCTAGAACACATTCTAAGTCAGAACAAAAGAATTTTAGAATTCTGTAAAAGAGCACAACTAGGAGTAAAGCAATATTTGCCCCACTACAGTACACAGCAAGAATGGATGACCCATTTTGGTCCTCACTGGGAGACTTTTCTGCAGAGAAAGTCTGTTTATGATCCATTAGCAATACTCGCTCCTGGCCAACGTATATTTCAAAAAGCAATAAGCTTTTCATGACCGCAGTCTCCTCATTTTATTATTAACAATCTCAAAAAGAAAAGTCTCTCGTGCATGCATATGCGAAAATGAAAATGTTAAATGATCAGACAGGTTTGGACACGGACCATACTGAATGCAAAAGAGGATTATCGATAGTAGAGAAATAGAGATCACAAAATGATGAATGGTGAGATTTGTATGCCTGACAGGTTAATAAGAAAAGTTGTCAGTGTGTGTATGCATCATTACTGATGGGAAATTGCTTAACATGCTTAGTGTAGCACCAAGGCAGCAGGGTCCGGCTGAGATTAGGTCAACAAAAGGTATCAAATATCTGAGACATTAATTATTGTAGGGTTTCCACAGAACTTATAAATATATTATCAGCATGAACGAATGTATATATCAAATTTGTTGACAATTCCTTATTTATTCTCTATCTCTCATGCAGCCAAATTCAATAAGAATATAATTACAGATATGTATACATCCACCACAAAATGATATCAATACGTATGCAAAATACATGGATAAGATGAAATCTAACGCTGAGTAACAATTATTATTCTAGAAAATTGCTGAAAATTATACAAAAATGGATATGTCTCACATGAAAGATGGTGAATATTAATCTACGGCAACCAAAACTTACTGCCGGGTGAGAACAGCTACAAAACAGTGATGCCATCGATATATAAAGGGTATCTGTGTTGGCAATAAATAATTGAGAAATTCAACAATTGCCGCATTAGCAAAATTATACACTCATAAATCATGATCTACTAGTACAGCAGCAAACATTCATAAAAATGGGACAAATAACTAACAACAAACCTTGTTTGTCTTTAACCATTGCTCTTTTCGCTGTGCATTTTGTAAATAAAGCATCATAAATCATCAACGTAAGCAGGACTATATCTAGCGCTTGCTTTTGTAATTTGTTATGTCAGAATAAGCACAACATCGATATAATTAGGAATCGTTGATGCCTTATCAAGTGAAATTAATGGCGAAAAATATTAAAAAGTTAAATCATTTCTTAAATCCAGTCCCTACCATCTTAGTTTTGATTCTGGAAATCATTCAACGTTTTACGATTTTATTATCCCTGCTTTTTCAACTACTTCTAGAGTTATAGTGGGGTATATTTCCCCTTATTTGGTTATAAATGCATAATTGTTCCCATCACTAAAAAGGAAGAGATCTAATAAAAGTTAACTTAAAAGGGATAAAAATGTTACTGTTCAAGAGATTCCATCATAGTGTGTCAGAATTAGAGGGCGAATGATATTTCGTTGCTTCTAGACCATTTCTATTGTTCACTGAAATACACATCACCCAGTGAAAGTTGCACCACATCACCTTCACCGCTCCAGAATGTTTTGGTTCAAAAAGCTTTTTTCTGGATTCTGGTTCTGTACCACTCACCAGACAACCACATAAAATGAACTAAAGTTATCGCATCAAATAGTAAAGCACGATCTTTCCACGTAGATGAGACCACAATGCATCGGTTCAGAAGATTTTGCTGGCTTGGAAAATTGAAAGCATTCACGAAAGAGCTACAAAGATGACCATAGTTATAGATAAAAAAGCAAAACATTGTCTATCTTTGAAAGAAAGACCCATTTTTTATAAGATATGTACGAAAGGAAAGTTGACATAAATGTACATGTTATATTAAATATGTCTTTGAAAGAAACATGCCTATTTTCAATGTCTGCCATCGTCCTTATGGTAGTAAAACTAGCATGAATATTAAATATGTAACATGATTCTTTGGGAAATTAACAGCAAATATGAAGTTTGAAATTAAAAGAAACCGCTTTTAAGTGCAAAAAAAAATCATTTACCTTATACAGCATGTGGTTTCTTGATATTGCCAATTATTGCTGTTGCTTATTGGAAGATCATACACAGAAAAGAAAAGGCAAGGGTGGGGGTGAGGGGACCATCTGCATACATAAAGCACCTTGTAATCAAGCACCAGCTAGTGCCAGATTGGTAGGTACATCTTTAATAATTATTCAAGGCAGGAATCTTAATGTATAAAAGCGGTATATAGGATGCATCAACAACAAAAGAAGCAACGTAGGGTAGCATTTGATAAACTGTTAAAAGTAACTAAAAGCATAATATGAGTTTTATTTTCTATATGTTGATAATTTAAAAATAATACAGTTAATTATCGAAACATGGATGGTTAAAAAGTGGTACGTTTTGATTCCACTAAAATGGTGGAACCAAGAATAGAATAGAACAAAATATTTTATTTTGTTTTGTTCGCATGTGAAATACTACATAACTCCCCTCAAAATGGTAAGGGACATGCAGTCCCTACCAATTATGGAAGACAAGAAAGAATCTATATTGATCAATGGAATTATGGGCTGACAGACAGCTGAGCACACATGATATGGAAGTTGTCTCTTAAATGTTGTATCTGGTCCAGATTCCTGTAATGAGTACATGGAAACTAAACTATAGGTATTGTATAAGATTCACCCGTGTGCACTGTGTAGTGAGCTTCAAATTAAAATCACTAAAACCGAATAAAAACTTGAGTTCATGATCCAGACACCATATCAATATCAACCAGCATTTGAAATCTAGAGACACTAATGGCAGAATACACAAGAATAAATGCAAACTCCCATGGAACCAGACCAACATGTATTCCACAATTATGAAAGAAACTCCGAACAAAGAGTTTGACCTCCAATAATATCTCCACTCCTTTTATGTTGACATTTATAGTTGAATTACCCAAAAATGATATTCATTATTTACGTCTGAGATTTTCTGAAATTTCACATAATTTGTTAGTAACGTTGAGTCCTACTAACATTAGTCTATCGAGGAGAGAAATAGGAAGAAAATAAATTATTTTCGCATGATCTAATAACAACATTTCCTCTCCACCTGCCTCTCCCCACAAATTGGAATGAAATGGGAAGGAGATAATCTCTCTCTTTTCTCTTTCTTTTCATTAATTTTATAAAATTATAATATAATTTTTTTAAAATAAATAATTTTATGTTAAGAAAAATATTATATTCAAAATTTGTATTATAAATATATTTATATATAATTTATATATTTATCTTTTTCTCTCTTTTTTCATTCATTCCTATAAACAGAAAGAAAATTAATAGGATTAATCTAGTAATGGAGGAATGGTTAAAATAGTATGTATAAAAGTATTAATTTTGAATCTTGATACTGTCATTTTTTTCATTCATTCCTATAAGCAGAAAGAAAATTAATAGGATTAGTCTAATAATGAAAGAATGATTAAAATAATATGTATAAGTATAAGTACTAATTTTGAATCTTGATATTGTCATTTTAATCCAGATGGACCAAAACAAATATAAACAGAAAGAAATTCTCTTCCTTTTTATTTCTATCTATCTATACAACATAATTTTTCCAATATCTTTTTCCTATCTCAATATTTCATTCTTTCTATTTCACTCCTCATTCAACAAAGCATAAATACAAGCAAACCAAGTTCAACATAAAATAGTATATAAGTAGATTTCTTAAATGTATTATTAATTTTCTTTACGCCAACTCCTTAAATATGTTATTAGGAGTTCAACTTTTAGTTGGAGAAGTCTTTATTAAAAAAGGAAAACTAACTTTAGTGATCCTTACATTTCAAAATGATTTAATCTACTATTGATTGAGGACATTCAAAGACACTGTTTTGTTTGTTGTAATTTTTCTTTCAACTTGGGTTTTAACTTTGGTGAATAAAAATTGATTAAAAAATAATGATGATAATTATAAATTATTATTTAATGTGCTTAATAATATATATATATATATATATATATATGTGTGTAAGCAAAATTTTGTACAAATACGTTAATTAATTATTTAAAACTTAAATGAAGAACCCATTCACACGGTGACTGTAAAGGCACACAATTCATGAGTATGCAAAAAAAGGGCCCATTGAGGATCATTTTGCAAAGTACGCAAAGAAGGCCCATTGAGGTTCTTTTTGGCAAGTGAAACGAACTCGTCCAGCAAGTTGGAAGATATCAAGAATGAAATTTCCTGGCTTGGCTTCCCCACTAAGGTGTGTTTGTTTGGTTGGAAATTGAGAGGGGAAAGATATAATAAAATCATCTAATTTTCACTACTTAAAGGAGAAATAGGAAGAAAAAAAATAATGCTATAAATTATTTCCTCCCAAATGAAGCATGAAACTAGGAAGAAAAGACTGTAGCAATTACCTTTTTTAGTTTTAGATTTTAAGAAATTGAATAAATTTTTAATAACAAAAAATAATGAATTTTGTTCTTACCTGACATCGATGTGGAGACGATCTTCGGGGCAAGATCGGTGAGCCTCTACAGCTTCGTACGTCAACTGCTCTGAGATGGGATTGGTACCTGCAAAAGAGACTTCAATGTTTAAGTTAGTCATTGTGAGTGTGTAAGTCTCATATATATAATGCACGTACCTTGATGTAGATTAGAATTTTTCCCACGAATGATAGTGAGATCGGTTATGATTTGATAAGATTGAGATCTTATCAATTTATTTTATCAATTGGAGAGTAGGCCGACTTGATAAGACAATGTGACCTGACTTCTTCGGTACTGAGGTGGGCCCTGATACTGATATGGGTAGTACAAATTTGTTTCTTTTCTTGAGTGTGAAACTATTATTTTGTTTCATTATTGATGTATTTGTAAAGCTGAAGAGTCTTTTAAAGCTTAAAATAAAAAAAGTAAAAAATAAAAACTAGTCTAAGTCATAATACGTCGGGATTTTAGCAACAATCTTTTGCAATAATAAATTAAACCATACGTTTTCATTATTATTAAAATAAAAAATAACTATTAATTTTAAGTGTAAAGCCAGCAGAAAAATATTTAAATAATTACGTAACAAGAACCCTTAAACCCCAATTTATACTAACCCGCTATCCACAAAATCATATTACAACTATAATAAATTCGGTCTAGAGTTATAATTTGAGTCTTCCTATTAATTAAAAAAAAAAATCATATCCCAACATATTCATTGATTGAGAAAGCATTTAAACACTGATAAGCGACCCTTCGCTACTAAGGGTGAGGCTTAGCATATTAGCAAGGTCATTGTAACACCGTGTATTTTTATTAATAATGGTTAATATTATTAATTTTGATTGTTGTTGTAATTTATTATTTAATTGTTGAGAAATTTTAATAATTTAGAATTTTTTTAGAAATTTTTAGTTGTTAAAATTGTTCCGAATAAAGATCAAGTTGTTATGTTAGAAGAAAGGTATATAAGATATTTTTTAAGAAATAAATTTCATAAGTTAACTTTCTTAAGAAAAATAGAAAATAAAGAAAAGAATTATAGAGTTTGAAATTCTTTGTACTTTTTGATTTTTAGGTCAAATTAGCCAAATTCATGAATTTATCAAGTG